GGGCGCTCCTTCTTCCTTGCCAGTGCAGTGAAGGAGTGCCCTGGGTCAGGAGCCAGGCAACCTGCCTTCCCAGCTTTACCACTTGGAGCAAATCAACCTCTCTGCACCTCCCTTTTCTCCCCAGGGTTGGGGGGGGGGGCGGTAGAGGGAGTGGGGGAGTAGCTACCTCATCAAATTAAATGAGTTAATACATGCAAAGCACCAAGAACAATGCCTGGCAGATAGTAATGTAACCAAATCCAAGTTCATCCACCCAGTTCACAGCAAAGACTATCACTGAAGACAAGCGTGCAGCAACGAGAGGGTTTACTCCAGAGGCGGCCAAACGAGGAGATAAAAGGGCAAGCCTCAAATCCACCTCTTGCGGGAGGATCAGGGACATGTAAAGGCATCTGAAGAAAGTCTAGGTAAAAAGTTGCAGCTGCACTTATTAGTCTGCAGCTGTGAGTAGTCCCATTAACCCTTTGGTTACCAGTTTCAGTAAGTACTCAGCAAAACTTGGCTATTTAGTACAGAGCACAGGGGAAAGCAACGGACAGGTGCAGACATGGAGATTGAAGACCAAAGTGCGTAAGAGAGGGGTAAGAGGGAGTTCACAAAGTAGAAAGGCCAGGCCAAGCAAATGGTACAAGTGAACACACAGAACTATCAAACTAGCATATCTGGGGAATTATAAATGATTCATTAGAGCTCGATTAATAAGTGTGTGAGCATGAGTGGAGAGAACCCTTGGATTTAGTAATTAAACCCATGTGGTGGGGAGTGAGGCAGAGGGTAGGTTTTTGGGTTGATGGTGATGCAATTAACCAGGAACAAAATACAGGAGGTGGTATGGGGATTGCCACAGTGTGGGTTTTGCACATTCAGTATGTGTGGGCCTTTAGACTCAAGAAGAGACGTACAACTGGACACACAAATCTGGGGTTTTACGAGAACATTCTGGCAAGCCATACAGTGCAGGGAACCATCAGAATGTTACTGATTGTGGTAGCCGCAAACTCTGCTGAAATCATCAAGAACCAGTGTAGAAAACCAGAAGGCAAAAACATAGGCTACGTTGGCCTTCCAGGGTAGCTGGCAGAGAAGGAGCCGGAGAGGAGAAATAGATAAGAGAACCAGAATAGCGTGGGGCCTTGCAAGAAACCAAGGCAGTAAAAGTTTCACATCAGTTAGGATGTTTTTGATGGAAAATGACAGAAAACTGAACTCAAACTGATTTAAACTGTCAAGATTTATTGGCCCATATAACTGGAGACACAAGCCTCTGGAGGATCACTCCCAAACCAATTGGAAAAATTCAGTTCACCATCAAAATCAGGAGTTCTACTGAGTATCTTTTATGTGCCAGGCATGGTTCTAGTGAATGAACAGGCAGAGGCCCTCCTCTGTGGACTGTACATACAAATGCTCCTTGGTATTTTTTTTTTTTTTGCATTACAATGCAATGCAATGTTTTAAATTGGGAAAACTATGTAAAGGGAAGAGAGAAAGCTTTAGAATATAATGAAAAGTCCAAAACACTTGCTGGGATTTTCTTGTAAGAATGTCTGGAACTTCTGTAGTGAGTGAAATAGGGAAGCAGTTCGGTATGGACACAAAAGGCTAAAACCCGGAATACCACCAATGACACTAAAGTCCGGCTGGGGTTTTAATCAGTTGTTGAGTTCATGCAGATACCTGTAAAAATATTTATATTTTTAAAATAGGTCTAGTTAGGGTTGTGTGTCTAAATGGTGTGGCAATATGTTTTACATGCAGGCCATGTCCAAACCTGCACTAACCCATTTACATTTTAATTACACACACACACACATGCACTGCAAACCATATATATGTAGTTTGCAATTAAAAAAACCCTCACCATATATATATACACACACACATATATACACACATATGTATGTATATATGTGTATATACATATGTAAGTATGTATGTGTATGTGTGTGTGTGTGTGTGTGTGTATATATATATATATATATATATATATGGTTTGCAATAAAAGAAAACCAGGGCCATTACATCCAACTAAGGACTACCAGTTTCTCATACTCCAGTCTCCTCTCCAATGCCTTAGTTCATTACTTACTGCTCTACTGAACTACTGCAACCGGTCTTTCTGAATCAGTCCTTACATGTCCTTTCTCCTTATGGCTACCAACGTGACTTTGCTAAAATAAAGATGGGTCTTCTTTTCCTAATAGTGCTTTGCACCAATAGGTACTCCATAAACTTTACATGGAATGCAATTACAGATTCTAGCCTGAGCTCTGTAGCTAACTCACATATTTGTGGGCATATTGTTTTATCTGGCTGGGCCTGTTTTCCATTTCTCTAATTTGGAAATGATAAAGCCTACCTCATTAGGTTTTTGGAAACTAAAATACTATATGATTGAACTTTGTGAATGCAAAAGCACTACACAGCATTAAGGATCTAGACTAGAAAGTTGCAAGTTTGCAAGTACAGGTAATAGGAGTATTTTAATGGCTAAAAATCAGTGTCAATTTTCTCAGTAATGTTCTTTGATTCTGGATAGAACATTTTTCACAAAACTCCATATGCTATTTATACTTTGAATTTTAAAATATGACCCACAGATGCTTAGTTCTCAAATTTTATCCTTGCACAGAAGAAAGTCATTTACGCCTGATGTGGTCTAACTTCCTTAAAGATGAAGACAGAGTCAAGTATCAAGTGACTTGTCTAAAAGAGAAACAACTTGGATAAAGGTCCCTTTCCCCTTCTGTTTTTTGGTCATATTTTGAAAAGAACCCCCGTGAAATACAAATGGCAGAATCAGACTGCTCCAAAATATTTAGCCTCCTTCTCTTTCCCCTCCTACATTAGAACTATTCAAAGTAGGTGTACATCTCTCAGAAGGGGCATAATGAGCTCACAAGTTCAGCCACTGTATGTCCTAAACTATCAACACCGTTTCCAGAAAAGCAGTATTTATTCCTCCCCGCCATTCCCATTCTGTTACCTTCTAGAAGGGGGGGGGGGGGGCTGAAAGCCATCACTAGAGGCTGATCTAGTTAGCTTTGTTCTATCATAAACTGATTTAAGTTGGAAATTGAACCAATGGGTGATAAAAAGAGGTTAGATTTCCAGACAGTGGCTTGCTGGGTTCTGGTTTTTGGTTTTTGTTTTTTTTTTTAAGTTTTTATTTATTCATATGACAGAGACACAGCAAGGAAACACAAGCAGGGGGAGTAGGAGAGGGAGAAGCATGCTTCCCGCCAAGCAGGGAGCTCAATGTGGGGCTGGATCCTGGGACCATGACCTGAGCTGAAGGCAGATGCTTAAGGACTGAGCCACTCAGGCGCCCCTTGGGTTGTTTTTGTTATTGTATGAGTTTTGCCTTCATGCTAATTTTTAAATCTTGTAATAGTTCAGTAATTTCTTGAAATATCTGCTCCTCTAATACATGTATCCAGACAATAGATTTCTCTAAATTTAGGAATCACAGATTTAAAATTATAATTCCTTTTGTTTAGTCTGGTGTCACTCTGGACTCATGCTTTATCACTCGATGCCACTCCCTAATATGATATTCTAGCCCTCGAAATTATTCATATACAAAGGCTTTAAATAAAAAGTTCCTTGCTTTACCAATTACTTCAATTTTGGGAATCATGTATCTATAAACATAGAGGACAAAGCAGCCATAGGGAGCACCTGCGTGGCTCAATTGTTAAGCATCTGCCTTTGGCTCAGGTCATGATCTCAGGGTCCTGGAATTGGCCCACATTGGGTTCCCTGCTCAGCAGGAAGCCTGCTTCTCCCTCTCCATATGCTGTTCCTCCTGCTTGTGCTCTCTCTCGCTATCTCTGTCAAATAAAGAAATAAAATCCTGGGGGGGGCGGGGAAGCCATAGAATTATTTTTTGCAAGTTTTGAGATGTACTGGAAGCTATCATACTGTTTATATTCCTTCCTCATTCCAAAAAACGCCATGGTAGCACCATCATTTTAATGCCTTTTGCAAATCTTAATCTACTTGATCCATGTTCCCAATTAAACAAATTTTATAGTTTTTCAAATACTGATTTCCAGTACTGAAGAAAAACAACTGGACTGAGGATTTTTTTTTTTTTTTAAACTCAAAGACAAATGTCTTTAATTCTTCTTATACACTAAAGGTGCAGTGTCCTATAATTAACTCTTGGCTCTGAAAGGCATTAAGATGCATGGAATGATTGATACAACGTATAGCATCTCCTTTTTATAGTTCAAAACGCTACAAATAACTGCACTGCCATTATGGACTAAAGAAGTAAAATCAAAGATGATTAACTTCCTTACTACCCCTTGCTGAATTTGACTATTACTATATGAAGCCTTAAAATAGGAGCCATGCACAAAAACAAAACAGAATACAAGATGGTCAGTGAAATCTGAGTCTCAGATAAACAAATTTTTAGTGTAAGTAGGTCCCACATATTGCACATATGAAACATTATTTGTTTATCTAAAATTCAAATTTAATTGGGTGTCCTCTATTTCTATTTGCTACATCTGGCAGTTCTTTGTAGAGAATTCTTACCTTCAGCAAACTATTTACCAGGGAAATTAATGAATAACCATCACCTAAGGTTTACATGATAAAGCGCAGTAACACAATCAAGGAAGATCTCCCTGCTTACCACAGAGAGTACCCAAAGCCATGACAACTGCAGTCCCTCGAAGATCACGAAAGTCTGATTGTTGGGTAGGTGGTTCAGAGTGATGATTCTGGAGTTCAAGTATCCTTAGTTAAATCCCCAAATCACTGCTCACTCACTGTGGAACTGTGGGTAAGTTAATCTCTCTTTATTATAAAATGAAGCCTTTAGGACCTGCTTTACCAGGCTGTTTGAGGATCACTGAAAAAGTATCCACAAAGCACCTGGAACACAGAAGGCACTCCTAGATGGTAATACCTACTATTAAAAACATCATATGGCAAAGAGGGTACTTGCCACAGACAAATATTCAAATGTTAATGTTATGCAATAGTAATACTGAATAAGTAATTTTATTTCCATGATCTATTTACACTATACAAACACTGTTGAAAAGCACCCTACGAGTTCACAGTACATTACAATATATTTAAAAATATATTCCTTTATAAAAGGTTCATAGAACATTGGCATGTCGACATGTGACAAAACTCTCAAAGCATGTCACTAATTCTGTGACAGCAAGAATGCTTCCATGTGTTGTCAATTTCACAATCACAAATCACCACTTGAGTTTTAAATAAAGTTTTAAATAAAAAATGAATTCTACAGTGGAAAGTTCCCACAGCAATACTTATTATTAGTTAATTAACATGTACTTTCATGGAGATGTTGTTTCACAATAATTTAAAACATCAACTTAATCTGCCCAAAAAAACCGTTTCAACAAGTTTCGCAGTCCAGAAATTGTCATTTGTTGTTTTCTACTTTTTCTTCTTTGTTGGCTCTCCTGGTTCTACTTTGCGCTTTTTAGAAGTATGTTCATCTTTTTCATCATCTTTAAACAGGAAAGGAAAAGTTTTAATCAGTAATTAAAAAAAAAAAGTTAAGTATTAAAATTTCATTGACTTCAGAACAAAATCATCATTCTCAGCTTATGTTTCTTCTGGTTTCCTAATAAAAACCAAAAATTAAATTTAGAACTCTGATTTTAAAGTGCAAGTAAAAGTAAGAAATTTTTAAATTGTAGTGTCATGCAGAATTCAGAGTGACCTTTTAGTGCGATATTAAGGTAGTTTTAAAATGAGAGTAACAGACTTGTTCTGGAAAAAAGCTATTCCCATATATTCCACAGTATACACTTTGTGTGTATTTAAATAATCTACATGTTGTAAAAAACAGAACACATTTTTTTTTTTTTTTTACCAAAGAAGACTACCAACCTAAACATGACATTATTTAAGTAGCCATCGGCTGTTCTTTCCCTTCCAATCTGCTTTCTCTCCTGGCAAAACAACTCCCTTTCCTATTTATAACCCTTGTCCTTTTATTTTGAAATTTAAAAAGCACTCACAGGTAGAAGTTTCACCAAAACTGTATTCTCTCTGAACATGTGTGTGGCTTTATGTTTAGAACTCCATATAGACAGACTAACATACAGAAGTTATAAATTTTAAAATACAAATTTATATTAAGCACATCACTGGATTCATTGCACTTTTGGCTTTACCTTCTCAATCAACAGATGCCCAAGTTCAACAACTATCACGTGGTGATCTATAAAATATTCTGATACTGAAAGGGGTCTTCATATTAAAAAAAACTGGGAAGCTGCAGTGCCTGGCTGGCTCAGTAAGTAGCAGAACATGAGCCTCTTGATCTTCGGGTCGTGAATACAAGCCCCATGTTGGGTGTGGAGCTTACTTAATAAAAAAAAAAATTATAATAAAAATACAAAGTTGGGGAAAAGCTGCTTATATCACACCATAACTCCTTATGGAGGAAATACATTTACAGCCTAAGCCTTCAGTTCCCTTCTGCTAACTGTACCATACTCAGAGTATCTCCTTCATTGATGAAGAGAATAATTAGAATCAACAGATGATTCATTCATCTTCATTCATCTTCAAGCACAGTATGGCGATATTTATGTATTTCAGAAAGCACTTATGGGTTTAGATAAGCAGCAAGATAAAATAAAATTCAGATCAACAAATCATCCTAGGAATTTACAGACCAGAGTTTTAATCAACAGTTTATCATGCATACAAAAAAGTAATGTATAAACCGACTGATATGTCACAGAGCTCAAATAAGCCAAGATCATTGTTTTTTAACTGGAGTTTAATTAATGTCATTGCTTGACTTTAAGATTATCTTCACAGTATAAAAACTGAAATTACTTTCTGTTATAAAATCCACTGTTGACATATCATTAAAAAGATGACTGTGGGTGCCTGGGTGGCTAAGTTGGTTAAACATCTGCCTTTGGCTCAAGTCATAATCCTGGGGTCCTGGGATAGAGTCCTGCACTGCGCTCTGAGCAGTGAGCCTGCTTCTCCCTGTCCCTGCTTGCTCTCTCTCTTAAAAAAAAAAAAAAAAACAAAGAGAGAGAGAAAGAGAGAGAGATCGTGAGACATTTCTGCTATTAATCTGCCAATTTTAAATAAATTTACTGAATTAACAAAAAACACAAATTCCTAGGGCTGGAAAAATAATTTCCAACAGGAAATTGAACAGGAGCTAATGCCATCTAGTGACATAACAAGGCATTGCCTTGAAAACCATAGCAGGACAAATGAAACAAAACCACTCTGAAATGTTCATTTATTAAATTATTGAGTTTCTACTCTATGCCATGTATTACAGATGCATTAGTAAAGAAAAAAATTTTTCTATTATGGAATTCATGCCGCCTGAGGTAAATAAGTTAACACTGTTAATATGAACTTTCTAAATTCTTAAAAAAAAGAAAAAGCATTAACTACTTAAGTAGGGATTTCATGGCTAAGTACATGTCAATAATATCTAAGCCTTACTGAGCTGCATTTCACAATTACCAAACAAGAAAAAATAATAATAAGTCTAAAAGAACTTAACTGGCAAAAAAGGCCAAAGTGCAAAAAATGAGTAGGAAAAGTAAAAATAATTTAATAGTCTAGAAATCAGGTAATTTAAGAGTGTGGAATTTTGCTTTTTTTAAAAAAGATTTTATTTAATTGACAGAGAGAGACAGTGAGAGAGGGAACACAAGCAGAGGGAGAAGCAGGCTTCCTGCTGAGCAGGGAGCCTGATATGGGGCTCATCCCAGGACCCCAGGATCATGACCACAGCTGAAGGCAAATGCTTAACGATTGAGCCTCCCAGGTGCCCCAAGAATATGAAATTTCTTAAACAAGATATTTTGTAAGTTAATAAATACAAATAAAAAAATGATCAATTTTATACTGACTTTGTGGGATTCTGAAATGACAAAAATCACTTCTAAAAAGGAAAGTATCTAAAAAAGAAGATAGTTAAAGTCAATAACCAACATTAGAGTCCAAATTAAATATTCTAGGATTATCTTTTAACTTTATGATCCAGCTTTACACTGAGCATTGGGTCCTTCTGTTGTTTGATATTTCTGTACACATTCTGATGGAGGACCATCTTATAATCAAAAGAACAGAAATTACCTAGGAGAATAACATTATTTGCCACATATTTGGAGGCAAGCTGGAAAGAAGAAAATTCTTTCTGGTTGTTTGTCCTGGTAGAGAATCACCATATAGGAACAAAGAGAGAGCACCAGCCTATCTTAATTCGAGTATCAACTCTAGTGGTCTTACTTCCTACAGAACAGCTATTTCTCAAGCATTACCGCTTGCAAAACATCGAGAGAACAAACCCCAGCTTAGAGAGACATCGTTTCCACTTAAGGGCCTGAGTCTGAATTCTAATTTCGCTAATTTTCCTAGCTATGTGAATTTACTTTAATCTGAGATTATTTCCTTGTCTATAAAAGAGTAATAATGAATTATGTACCACTTCTTTACTAGGTCACTAGGGGGAAGTACCTATTTTACAGCTTGGCATTTTCTAGTTTTGTGATCATGGACAAGTCACATGAAGCTCTCTTTTCCATATTTCCTTATCTGGTTTCACCAGGTGAAGGATTAAACACTATTTATGCAAAATTGGTTTTTTATTAGTTACACAATACTATACAGTATGAGGTATTTTGCTTTAAAAGGATGCCATTACTGAATGATATTATGCCTTCATTAGTGACTTCTAATCCACACTGGAAAATCAGTGAAAGAAATGGAAAAGCCAAGTAAAATTAAAACTGAAGAACTCCTACCAGTTAGTTATTTTTTTCTCCTAAAACAAAACTCTGCCTGGCTGTAAAAGGAGCTAAGGGAAGTAGCCCTGGATTCATGAGAACATCAGAAATCTGTTTAACTGGCATGCCCTTCCAATAAAAATGCCTTCCAAATATTAGCTCAATTCAACAATACCCACTGAATAGTCAAAATGTACTAAAAACTGTAAAGGAACTCATGTTCACAAAGACAAACTTATGAACAAATAATCTCATATAAGATGATAGTACAATCAATAGCATTAGCACACACAAGGTTTAGAGGAGCAAATAATTTGAGGGAGGTGCTGACATTTTTTTCTTTGAGTAAGATTTTGAAGGATGAATGTGTTTACCAGCTGAAGAGGGAGGGAAGAACATTCTGGACTAAGGAGCAACATACGCTGAAAGGCATGGAACCATAAAATAGCATGGTCTATTCAGTTTTCAATTTTAAGATCTTAAAGTGGTAAAAAAAAAAAGGCACCATTTAAAATGAAGGTAGAGAGAAAGGCAGGGCCTATCAGAAGGCTTTGACTATGCTCTTGGTGAAGGATTTTAAGCAGGTGAGTTACATAATCAGACATTACTTTTAGAAAAAGTGATCACTAGCTGCAGTGTGAAGGATGGAATTGAGGGGTTGGGTAAAAGTATGTAAGCAGAGATTACTGTGGTTACTTATACTCTAAATATGAAATGAAATTATGATACAAACATGTCAGCTAGGTCATTATCTTCCTATTACTATGTAGTAATACTCAATTAACTTCATTTTGTCACACTAATTTTGGCTTTAAACCACAATTGCTTTAATATAAAATGAAGCCTTCAGCTCTTCGAAGCTACAATCACAAGAAAGAATCCATGAATTAACTGTCTCTGTTTTAAATTATAAATCATATATATGATGGGTTGAGATAGCAAGAGATTTCATTCTAAAGCCTGAATAACTTAAGATCTTTTTCTAAAACACGGTAAATACTACTGGTTGAGCTTTCAGAGACTTCATGTCAAGGCTGAATTTATACAACCTTTCTCAAAACTACGGCAAAAATAATAACCACACGCCATCATTAATTTCTTAAGTCGCTAGATTTAAATTTCACTCATTAAGTATCTCCTTCTTTTTAAATCCATCACAGGGGCCAAAAGGTATTATTCAAGGGAATCTGACTGGCCTTACCTGATTCCACTGTCTCCTCCCCTTCTGGTAGAAGCCTAGCTTTCTTAGCATTCTGTGGGGCATCATCACCATTGTCCTCATATATGTTAGACCACTTTATTGCCATATCCAGCTCTGGAGGGGGAGGTTTCTTCTCAGTAGTGTAGGTCTCCGGAGGTGGTACATAGTTTGACTTCCATACTTTGAATTCTTTTGGAGGCTGTTAAGCAAACACATTAAAAAGCACCGTGACGAACCGAGGTTCCTACAATCGGTATGGGCACATGCACCTCCCTGCCGTTCGCTTATTGTTCAGGATGACTTTTTTTTTTTTTTTAAGGTTCAAAGACACATTTTTTTTTCCATCAAAATCACAATACCGTTAAGTGAAAAGCCAAAGGGTTCCCTATACGAATAAAGCTAATAACTTTTAGTTACCAAAGAAGAATCCAGTCTCAGAGATACTACGCCAAGGCTGACCCCTTCAGGAGGCTGCAGCAGACACTGTCTTGGAGGCAGCACCGCAGGCACTTCGGCGTCAAAGGGAAGGGGTCTCGGGGAGAAGCTGCAGCGGGGGGGGGGCGGGGGAGTCACCACCGTTAGTCCTCGCAGCGCGGGGTCGGGGCACCGAGCGCGGAGGTTTGGGTCTCCTCACAAGGGGGCGGGGCTGCGGGCCAGTCTGACACCCACCAGGCTGGGGAAGGGGGCCCGGGCTTCCCAGGGCTGGAGATGGGAGAGGTGGTGCGGCAACCCGCAGGAGGTGATTGCGTGTGGGGGGAACGAAGTGCCGGTCCCCAGGAGAGGGCTCAGGAGGAAGGGGGCGGAGGCCGGGGCCACGGTCGGGAAACCGGGTCGGGAACCTCACCTCCTCAGGCGCCTTGACGACGTGCCTCTCCCAGTCTATCTGTTTGTTGAGCGGATTGTAGAGAAAGGCCGGGCGAGTCACGCTCCGAAACAATTCGTCGGGTCCTGGCAGCCGCTTCTCTGCCTTGTTCCCACAGCCGCCCGCCGGCTTCGCAGGATCTGGGGTCCTGCGATTCGTTTCCTCCGGCTCGCTGTTATCCTCCTCGCCCGAGGAACCTGAGCTGCTGCTGCCGTAAGCCGCGAAATAGCTCAAAGGGTCCTTCTCCTCGGCCGCCATGACGGCTGCGCGCGACGACCGTGGGCTCCGCCGGAAGCCGGAAGCTGCTTCAGGGCCCACCCCACGGTTGGCTCCGCCCCAAGTCTTGCGGTAGAGCGCAGACCCTGCGCCACCTGACGGCAGTGCCGGGCTGCTGCCGCTGGAGTCGGGACTGAGGCTGGAGGCGGGAAGCGCCCTTGGCCCAGAAGGGCTGCTTTATGCTCCTTCCTGAGGATCCCTGAGACGAGACAAGTCCTGAACCAGTGGTCCCAAACAAACTTTCAACATTCAGTAAGAATTTATTAAAGGCATACACGAGATAAGAATTTGTTTTTCACGGCCGCCTCACCTTAACCATTGCCCAGACACCAGGATTTCTTCCTGATCTCACTGCATCTCCTCTTCAAATTGAAAATTACTCTCAGTATGGTTGTTTCCCGCAGTCACCGTGGAAGACCTCTATGGGTGGTGCACTTATCAAGTTACAGACTAAATCCTCTCCTGCTTGACCTCACTCCAGTGGGGTCTGAATAGCTGTCTTTGATGAAATTCTTCTTGGATTGCATCTCACCACTCAGTGAGTCTTCCACACTCTCTGGCTTCTCATTGTCAGCTTCTTTCCATTCTTGCTTTGCCCTGTATGGCCCTTAAACGCCGGTGTTTCCCAATTTATTGTACCATCTTTCAGAATACTTAGATTTTGTAGAGGGCATTACAACGTTGCAGGCCAAACCATTTCTTTCCATGGCATTCACCATCTTATGCTTGTGACTCTCAAATCTGGGTTTCCAACCCCAAGCTCTCCACCCAACCTCTGGACCAGACCTCCATTTGGCTCTTAAACTTTTCAGGCCTCAGATCCTGCTGGGGCCTCAAACACCCATATACTAGATCAGTAGCTTGTCCTTTCTTGTTTCTGTGTGTGTTCCCTCTCTTAGAAAATGATATAACCTAGTCACCAAGAAAACTAGAAATCTTTTACTCCTCCTGGTGATCTAAGAGGGAACGACACCTAAATGAAAGTGAAAAAGTCGTTTGTAGGGTGCCTCAGTTGGTGTCTACCTTTGGATCAGATGATGATACTGGGGTCCTGGGATTGAGCCCTGTGCCATTGAGCTCCCTGCTCAGTGGGGAGTCTGTTTCTCCCTCTCCCTCTGCTGCTCCCCCGTTTGTGCCCTCTCTCTCAAATAAATAAATAAAATCTTTAAAAAACTGGCCCCCTGTTGAATCTATCTGAGGTTGGGGTACACCGTTTGAGTCATGAGTCCCTGTTATCAAAGCCACCAACAGCCCCCATGTGACTAAGTCCAGGGCCTGCTTCTTACTTCACCTCTTAACAAGATAGGCCTTCTTCTTGAAACACTTTTTTCTCTTGCTTTTTACCAATCATACGCTTTAGTTCTCTTCCTATTTCACAGGGCTCTTTTCCGTTTCCTCTCTTGCCTTCTGTCTCGCCTCTAGTTGTGAGAGCACCTCAGGCTCGGTCCTGGAACAGCCTTTCTTTTCTATGAACCCTCTGTTTAAAGGTAAATTCATCAAGTCTCATGGTTTAAAATACCATTTTATGCTAATAACTCCCACATTTATATAACCAGTCCAGAAGCATTCCCTGAACACCAAAATCCTCGTACCCAATTTCCAACTTCAGTGTCTAACAAGCACTGCAACGTTAACATATTTGTAGTAGATTTTCTACGAAGATGGCAGTCAACAATTCCTGCCATGTCAGTGCTGTATGCCGCTCCTTCCATCATGGGGTATATTTCCTCTCCCTTTGGATCTGGGCTAGCCTTGTGCCTTGCACTGATTACTAGGATTCCTCCATTGTCTCCCCCCCCCCCCGCCACCCCCGGGAAGCCCTGAGCCACCATGTAAAGAGAGGTCCAGCTACTCTGCTGGAGATACTGTGAATAAGGAACCCCAGTCAGCTGCCAGCTGGTGTATCCATCCCAGGTAAGGCACTAGATTTGTGAGTGAACTTATACAATCCCAGCTGAGCCTTTATAAGAATTCAGAATGAACCCAGGATAGACCATCATAAGAACTATGAAGCCAAGTCTAGCCCAATTTGCAGAATCAAGAACAAATAAATGGTCATTATTTTAAACCACTAAGTTTTAGTGTTTTAAAAGATTAGTGTTCTAAAGTGTTTTAAGTTTAGGTATGTTATGCAGCAATAGACACCTGAAAAACATGTCCAAACTGAACTCTTCATTTCCTACCCTCAATACTCTCCACCTCCCATAATCTGTCCCATCTCTTTAATTTACAGCATTACCATTATTTTTGAGTAATCTCTGCACCAAACGTGGCGCTTGAACTCATGACCCTGAGATCAAGAGTCACATGCTCTATGGACTAAGTCAGCCAGGCACCCCAAATTGCAGCATTATTAATCCAGGTGCTCAGGTCACAAGTCAGCAAATGTTATCATTTCAAATTTAAAATATAGTCCAAGTCCAAACACTTATTACCAATTCTACCTCAACTACATTACTTTTTCCTTTCCTGCTAATTTTCTTAACATTTAATAATCTTTAAATTGGTTTAGATTCATGCATTACATTTAGTGGCTGTGTCTATCTCTTTTAACCTTTAATGGTTTCTGTTTTTAAATTTCATAACCTTGATATCTAGACTATAGTTATTTTGTAGAAGATGCCTCTATTTGTCCTAGTGATAAATTCAGGTTACAAATCTTTATTAAGAATATCATAAAAGGGGGCACGTGGGTGGTTCAGTCAGTTAGGTGGCTGCCTTGGGCTCAGGTCATGATCCCAGGGTCCTGGGATAGAGTCCCACATCCTGCATCAAGCTCCTTGCTCAGCAGAGAGCCTGCTTCTCTCTCTCTGTCTCTGCCTGCTGCTCAGCCTACTTGTGCTCTGTCAAATAAAAAAGAAAAAAAAAAAGAATATCATGAAAGTGGTGTTGTGTTCTTCTCATTGCATTCTATCAGGAGGCATGTGGTTTCATTTGCTTTGGTACTAATGATTTTTAACTTTTTAAAAAAGATTTTATTTTTAGGTAATCTCTGCACCCAAGGTGGGGCTCAAACTCAAACCCCAAGATCAAGAGTCACATGTTCTACCAGCTGGGCCAGTCAGGCAGCCCTGATTTTTTGTTTAAGGTAGTATCTGGCAGGGTTTTCTACTATCAAGTTGCTTTTTTCCTGCTTTGTAATTAGTAAGTGTTTTGTAGGGAGATATTTGAGACTGTGTCAATATCCCATTCTTCATCACATTATTTGTCCATTTACATTAGCATTAACTCATGGGTTCTTATTTTATCCAATGATTTATGATCTATTATTAGTAGTATTTATTTTGATGTCGAAATTATTCCTCACTTGGCCTGTGGGAGCCCCTTTAAGCTGGTTTCTGTGCCTTTTGGACATGTCTCAGTTCAACTGTCACCTGCTCTGAGAGGAGTTCCCTGATGATGCTATCTAAACTCTTTCCCAAGTTATGTTTTAACTCACACATGCCCTATTTTATATCCATGGTAACTAGAATTACCCAGGTTCCCCTACTTATATTTTACCTCCCCCAACTACAATGTGAATTCTTGGAGAGCACAGGTTTTGTTTTATTACTCTGTCTCCAGCACCTAGAAAATAGGTACTCAATGAATAATTACTGAATTAATGAGTGAAAAGAATACATTATCTCCACTCTTAACTTTCGGTTATTTAAGAAATACTAAGAAGAACATGAAGTTGTGGAAAGAACATTCACTGTGGAGCCAAACATCCTGGATTTTTATTCTAAACAGTTGTGTGATGTTGAGTCATTCACTGTATTCTGAGTTTTTTTGAGCTCTGCTCTCAGACAGCCTTCATAAGATTATACTTAACAACTATAGACAGATTTGCTTCTTGGTTTGTCTTTCTCCCCAAAGTCCAAAGTGTGTACATTTATCCACTGACACAAGATAAGACCAGAGCCTAGAACTTTCTGCTCCCTTTTATATTGCTTTAAATGACAGTACCTGTAAGACTGAATTCTACTGGTGCCTGGGTGGCTCAGTTGATTAAGCGACTGCCTTCAGCTCAGGTCATGATCCTGGAGTCCCAGGATCGAGTCCCCTGCTCAGCGGGGAGCCTGCTTCTCCCTCTGTCCGTCCCCCCATCATGCAGTCTCTCAAATAAATAAATAAAATCTTAAAAAAAAAAAAAAAAAGCTTCTACCTTATACCATACACAGAAATCACTTTATAATGAATTATATGGCCAATTGTGAAATTAAAACAACTAAGACTCCAGGAAAAAACATAGGAGAATATCATTATGACATTGGACAAGCAAAGATTTCTAAAACAGGAGCTAGAAATCACTAACCACAAAAGAAAAGATTGAGAAATTAGATTACTTAATTATTTAATTGAAATAAAAAGACTGGGGTGCCTGCGTGGCTCAGTCTTTTAAGCGTCTGCCTTTGGTTCAGGTCATGATCTCAGGGTCCTGGAATAGAGCCCCCATCAGGCTCTCTGCTCAGCATGGGGGCTGACTTCTCCCTCTTCCTCTGCCTGCCACTACTCCCCCCACTTGTGTGCTCACTCTGTCAAAAAATAAATAAAATCTTAAATAAAATAAAAAGACTGTTTATCAAAATAAACAAACCCCAAATCTCTCAAACAGAACAAAACACTTCTTAAAAAAATTGAAACAAAACTAGAATTTGCCATTATTTTGGCCTGTTCCTAATTTGCCAATGTTTGACCTTGGACGAAGAGCAACATGCTGACCAAAGATGTTAAATCACCTCATGAAAAGGTGTGCTCACCACGAAAAGACATGGAGACAACTTACGTTTCATAGTGCTTAGGCTACATATGATTCCAACCATGTGACATTCTGGAAAAAAACAGTGCAGAAACAATAAAAGATCAGTGGCTGCCAGGGCTGGAAGGGGAAGGGAAGAGGAAGAGATGAGTAAGTGGAACAAAGGACATTTTTAGGGCAGTAAAACTAAATAGTATGATATTACACTGGTGGATACATGACTTTACGCATTTATTAAAACCTATAGAACCAGGGTGCCTGAATGGCTCTGTCAGTT